AGGACATATTAAGTCAACAACATACGTTAAGCACTTTAACAACCCCCGACTTCTATGTCAACCTGATGTAGCTTTGGCATAAGCTTTGGCAAACGCAATGTGTGTGATTTACCTAGAAAATATGTCAGTTATTCTCTGAAGTACTGCATAACAAAGATGTAATGACATTTTCGTCTGTCCAGATCATTGTCTTTGTAGGACAAGAAACAGAATAATTTTGGCACTTGTATTATCAGGGAAATTTCATAATAATTATTAATAAATGCTCTTATTTATATTAAACCAACAATTAAAATGATTAATTAAAAAGCATTTTTTGTATGAACCAAGATTCGACAGCAAGGAAAAAACATTTTTTGTCACGATAACCGAAATAAAGATGTATCTGAAGAGAGTGCACCTTACGTTCTCAGAGGGGGAGGGGGGGGGGGGGAACGTTATTTATGTTCTGTCAGTTATAATTCTAATTTTTCGTTAGTTTTCTAATTAACAGATTGATAGATAGGATGTCATCATTAGCACGACAAATCAATGTCGTGTTGTTGTGTTTTAAGTGCATTCTATGTTGTGTACGTAAGGCTTGGCTGACAGGAGGCAGAATGGCTGCATTGCATGTACTTAGTAAAAACGCTACGCCAAATGATAATGTGGCTTCGGGGTATATTAATCTGCATGCAGAACTTTTCTTTGTATAATGCTAGATTAAATTGCGTTATATGTTGTTAATTTGAATGTTTGTTTTGGATGTGTGTTATACAGTAGTCTATAATGTGACTGCCATGTCTAAAGACTGATTATTTTACTTATTTTATATATCTTATGTTCAAACTTAAGTGAAATATTTAAAATTTCAGTCTATTGAAAATAAAATACATATATTCCATTAAGCAGAATATCCAAGACAGGATTGACTTACTGTTTAATGTCCAAGAGTAAGTAAGGAAAAAAGATTTTTAAAGAGAGTATCAAGTTTACGACCCATGAACGACGGACGACGTACGAGATCGGACAAAAACATATCAGTATGTCACCTGAGACAATCGGGTAATCTAAATAGGTGTCATTTCAGTCTTAAGATTAGGTTGTGTACACGTTTTGCTAAAAATTAAGAAAAATTAATAAGGTCACCATTTCAAACACGAGAATTGGGTTATAATGTAAAAGAGGAAACCGGAAACATTTAGTCCAGGGAATCATTGTAAAGTAATAATGTGTACCTCAATAGAGACGCCAACATCTGGTGTTCATCGGAATTGTCATAAATTCTTAGCTGATTATAACTGCGTGAATGGAAGCTTATTTAGAATCTATCGATGTTGCTCTAAGATCAGATCCGTGCCAATAAATCAGTGGAATTTATCGATAGACACAATTTAATGTTCGCCCTTCTTCCAACTGCCCTTGCTCTTTATTGTATTTTCATATCGAAATCATAAATGTTATTGTCTTTTTCCATTGTATTTTGATGTAATGTGAAAGGGGAAAATAAAGATCATGGATCAAGCTCATACATGTAATTTTTTTTAATAGATGCCAAGCATATTTTGTCTGCTGGTACATTATAATGAAAGGAACATATTTTATAAGATAAATAGAGTCTGTAAGTGTTGTATGAACACACAAAAATATTAACTGTCTTTGGGCCCAGTCACAATTTACCGGCTAGCACTAACGGATGTCAGACAAATAAAAAACGAAGGCAAAACAAAACGCATGTCCTCGGTAACACATTGTCTCCCATCGCATTTTGAGTCTCTTAAGGTAAAGGAAAAAATCCGAACGGTAATCGGACGTAAGCAAAGTACAAGCCATTGCTAACTAAAGAGCTTCATCATTCTCGTAACGAATGTTCGTTTGTAAAACATTCCTTTGAGCATTGTCCATATTTATTGAGGGCTGTGAACGATCTCCATTAAAAAAAACAAATGCAACGTCTGAGAAACAAACGGCAACTAAATGCGCTGAACTAAGACGTCGAGAAAGTCCGGTTTATCCGTTATACTGCCTAGTGTCCATTCAGCTGTGACAACAACATAAGTAGACTAATCAGTATATAGGAAAATAATGCTACACGGTGAATTGTGACTGGGACCATTATATATACTGTATTCGGTGTGTGAAACCATATTATTTTATAGTCAATATGTAGAAATAACCAATTTGTTTCGATATAATAAGTACTTGTACAGCAAAAATTAACATTAGATGATATGATATACATGTATATTATACTAAGATACAATGTATCAAAGATAACAGTTAAAAATAATATTTTCACAACAATGTAGATTCTAGATTCTACTTTACATTCATCATATTCATTTAACAGATGTGATTTCATTCTTTAAGCATATCAACTGAATAAAATGAAGATGTAAAAAAAAAAAAATCCATAACCTTGCTGTAAATTATATAAGTTGAGAAAAAAGTCCGTAACTTTAATATTAATACTTCGAGAAACATTGCTAATGATGTTCTCCGCCTCATTGACATCGATAAGAACCCAAGTTACCTAATTAAACCTGTATAAAATACAAAGTATATCAATGTTAATGTCACCTTTGTCAAGGTAAATCGTGATCCATTTCCTGTGGAAGATAGAAAGAACATGCTTAAATTGCAAATGATACAATGGTATACAAGAGTAAAACAAAAAAATGCGGGAAAGATCGATCTGACATAATCATGGGATTTAGCTATTTAATTAACAAATTAGTTACAAAATTTAGATAGGGTGATCAGTTATTTCCTATAATTATCTTAAATATATACATTAGTTTCTAATTCTTATATATGTTTAATCCGTTGCAAGTTTGTAAATTGTAAAAAGCGGAACGTTAATTGTGCTCTGCATTATTTAAATTCATATAAAATTCAATGTTCTTTGCAGCTGTCAAAAAGGACAAACCTAAGAAATCTTCCAGTGGAGTATTGGCACATGCAATAACATTTCCAGTCATCAAAGAGGAAGTGGAAGAGGAGGAAGCGGAAGAAGAATACTTTCGGAACCAACCAGATTCTCCCTTAACTTCTCTGTATTGTGGAACAAGATGGAAGAACCGCACTTGGCCAGACTTTTTATATGACAAATCGTTTGCTGTAAATTATTATGGTAAAAACTTACTTTTGGATAAATTCGTAGTGATTGTCTCATTTAATTAAAAACAGATTTGAATCTTTAATAGTAGGAAGCCTGTTGTAGTTTTTATATATACATGTATTTGTGATAGATGTATCCCTCTGCAGGATGAGGACAATCATTTTGAATTAAAGTACTTTTTCGTATATCATGTTCATGATTGTGCTCATGCTGCTTCTTAGCTGCATTGGTAGTGTTTAACACGTAGAGTTTTCATTTAAAAACTTAGCTGCCCCCTATTTCATAATGCTTTGTTTTGTCTTAACTCAGACACCTTTTACTATGAACTTTTTTGTTACAGCGCATGTTATCTATATAGTCAGAACCAAACTGAAAACCAAGTTCTAGGCCAGAAAACCCTCGGCGGTATGTTTAACTTTTCAGAACGAGCATCATGGGTTTATTCCACTGTAGAGCATTGTTCAGGCTACTTGATAACTCCAAGGAGAGGATGTTCCTGCAACTTGTTTTAATTGCCCTTGTATAAACAATTGTCTAGTAAAGCAAGGCTTGTGTAATAAATTCTGTTTGCAGGGAACATGGCGTGGAATGTGCTGCAGTCACATGCTACAGGCTTCACTAATATTTGGTTTTCAAAAAAATGTTAACTTTAAGACTGAAACAATCTTATACTTAACAGTGATATTCTTCAGTTTTCATAGGGTAAACTACAATTCAGTAATTTACTAATGAGGCATGTGGCATTTGGTCATTTCTTTATTAAGATTCTATTCTTTTGTTTTTGTTAAAAATATATATTGTTGTTGTTGATGTAGAGTGTTATGTTTGGATGGTCAAATATATGCATTTGCTACTTGAAACCCATGTACAACACAATTTTATGTAAACTACCACATAATACTATGCAACTTCACTGACAATTCTCCGTAGCATTAATTATCTTTGATATATTAACTTAAAAAATATATATATTTAAAAGGTTAGTTATACTCTTTCCTAAAGCTCGTTTTGGACATCCTGTGACCTTAATGAAATGTCCTTAAATCTAAATTTCACAGAATTCAAAAGAATAGGGATTAAAAATACTAGCCTAAATTTGTGAGCACTCGTATCAGCAACATAAAAGTCTGAGATCATTCCAGACAGGAAAGCAGTTATCCCGAATACGATTTGGTCAATTTTAACAGTTATTGTGACCTTTTTCTTGGTGCAATGCTAGCTTGAGTTACTGAATATCTTACAAAACATCTCAAATACTGAATAGTATTCTTAACCTATTACAAGCCCGCCTTGCTATCAACATTGATTTTATCAGGTAAATTCAAAGAAATAGAAAGATACAGTTAACTAACGTAAAAAAAAATCAAACATGTAGGAACTAATGCCGAATTTTCGATATGTCTTGGTGTTTCGTGAGCTCCTACCAGATAGTTCTTGAAAATTAAGAAGAATCCTCAACTTTGAAAACAAGTCGGTCACGGGCACAAGATACTCAAACACATTTAATTTTTGTCAAAGAATTAACACCTTTCGTGATGCGGCAACATTATTTTGTCTACCCCTCGTTTGGCATACGACTATATATAATTTGCAATGTATACATTACTAGAAATGTTCCTATATTGCGTCTTGTGCATATCAACATTTTTTTTGTTCTTTAAATCTATGAAAAGTACGAACATATTAACACGTTTTGAAACACACTAACAACACTCTGAAGTAAATTGCAATTTTCTGAGAGTATGTTTTCTAAGATCGAGATATGTTCTTTGCTGTTAGTTTATATACAAGCATCAATAATGGCATGTTCTTTATCTCGCCATGGGGGCATCGTATTTCTATAGCGAGATTATCTTGACAAGTTTATATGATATAGATAGAGGAACTACATGCAATAACTCTTAGATTGTTGTTCTTTATAATACCTTCAAATGATTCCATTACAGCTGGTAATTAATACATTTTTTTCTTAAGCAGATTATGACTTGGAATCGATGGATACAGACGAAGATGACGTATTTTTGTCAGAACCTGGAAATAATACACAAGTTAAATTTCCTGATTTCCAGGATAACAGTGATTCAGACTCGGAAATGGCAAACATTATAAAACAAAATCTCATTTTTGAGAATAAAAACTTCTCCAATTCATTTACAGAAAGGTCTAACGGATCCTGTAGGATAGACCAAGACATGAATGCAAATACATACACGGACAGGTGCGCGTTATCTATTCTAAAACAGAATGGTAACGTCCCACATACTGTAAGACCTTTACCTGACATCAGTAACAGTTTTACGGACAATGCGGCACTGTCTTGCCAAGCAAACCACAGTGTTGTGCCGACATTCTCTGACATCACGGGGGTGAACTTTGCCCTGTTTGTGTTGCTGTTGTCGGGGTACACTTTCCTAGCATTACGATGGAACATGGATCCTAGAACGTTCGTGTGTTTTGAATTATTTGTTGAGTTTTTATTCTTAATTGTGAGTTCTTTATTAGACTAATTAATGTACACATACGTATATAGAGGGTTTATTGTTTAAAAATATAACATGAATTCTGCGTTGCCTTTTTGAATATTTATTGTTGAACATAGATTAAAGAGATTGATTAATTTTGTAAGTTTATGTCTTTCGCCTTTTCATTCATCTAAATATACAGTGAGATAGTAAACAGTGTTTATGTAGATTCAAAACTTTGAGCTCATAGGTGTTAATTAAGTCAGTTTAAATACCAATACGTAGAACGCACAAAAATTGCATTTTCTTTATTGAAATTTTCTTCCCCCACATTAAACACAAGTATTTGCTTTTTTTTTCTTTTTTTAAAGAAATGAGCACAAAGTCCAACATTTGTAAAACCGAAAGTTTCGTTCAAATATTATGCCAATACGTACTCATTTAAAAATACCGTATAAGTAGAAATTTTAGCGAGACGCAAATTTAGCGATTTGTCCTTCAAAATTGGTGTTTATTTTTAGCGAGATGTAATTTAAGCGATTTTAAAATATTCACTAAATAAGCTATTACAAATAAAAAGCAATTAATTTTTAGCGATATGAAATTTTAGCGATCTCAGCACCCTTGCTAATAATGCCAAAATTAAATCCTTGTTTTCCGTCCTAAAATTCTACTTATATCGCCAGAAATAAAGAAACGTGTTAAAAAAAATTAAATCAATTTTTTCAAAAATAATTAAGAAGAATAATTGAATGTTTATTCATTATTTATAGAACAAATCTGAAGCTTCAATATACCTATTTAGTTATGGAAACCCTATTCATAGAATTGAATGTTCATCAAATTTAAACACGTGTTCGTCATTTCATTGAGCTGATCTCTTCTGATTGATTGTATGTTGTTTAACGTCCCATTCGATAATTTTTCACTCGTATAAAGACGTCACCATATACCGGTGAAGGGTTTCATATTTAGACCTACGACACTAAAGGGCCATTGAGCAGTGAGGTGTCTTTACAGCCAACGCCTGTCGAGACCTCGGGTTTTTATGTTTCATCCGAAGGATTCGAAACTTTCAATTCAAAGTACCGAACGCCTGGTGAAGGAACATTTGCTACAATTTCACCAACTTCACCCTAAGTATGAATTATTCAGGTAAAAAGAATTCAAATCTAACGGTCTCCAGACAATATTTTGGGAACTCGGCCATTTGCTTGACAGGCATCATTTTATGAATTATGTACATACATGTATGTATACAATGAACTTGTGAACACTCACCCATGTTTATTTTTAAGTGAAAGGTCATTTGCTTTCCCATCATACTTATATAGCGTTTAATTCTAAGTATACGATGAAATCGATATCGATGAAATAAATGTACGTAATTTGATCCACTCCTGAAGGTGAATGAAATGGAATCAGGTGAGCGCAGAAGCCTCCAGGCTATTTGTTCATTCAGAAAGCAGAGCTTTTGTGAAGTCAATTTGCTGTCCCATTAAGTAAATACTCAGTATTGTATTGTTTAATTCTGTTCATGATAATCAATAGAATGCATTAAGCAATATCACGTAGTTTGTTCAAGGATCTCATTGGAGCATTTTCGTGTGCTGAAAGATTTCATCTCTATAGTTTCAGTTAATTTGGATTCCAACCAATTTGTTTACGGGTTTCATTTTCATAACCGAGTAATTTCTTGGATAACGAGCATCAATGGGACTGAACTCGTAATAACGAATTCAGTCTACATGATGGTTTCTCTCTTCGTTTACTGCTTGTTTTCGGCACCGTTTCAATTTTCTGATTTTAAATATCACATTGCATTGGTTCCAGATTTCTTGACCTTTCAGTTTTGACCTCGAATAAAGTAGATGACAATTTTGTGTGTATGAACTGAATATTCAAGATATTGAATTCCTGTGATCCTTCATTAGAAAGTTGTAGACCCGACAATATTATTTCATTTTTTTCTGCCAAGGACCTTGAACTTATTTTTTTCAGGCCATTCCACACTCAGTCATAGAACTTTTCGGATAATTGATTCAATACATTACTTAACTAGAGGTACTGTGAGCAATGAGTTCACTAAATGATACCCCCCGCCTCCCATATGAATATAATGGCAGTGTCCATGTTTTGCTCTGGAAAATACAAAATATATGTCAAATCAAAAAGAAAAATAGGAGGTGCACAATGGCAATATGTAATGAAGATTCTGTGAAAGTTTCATTAGATTTCCTTCAGTATAAGGAGTTGCTTCCATAATTGATTCATATACATTTTCAAGCGGGAATATAACCAGTATACATCTTGTTGGTACTAGATGGTCCCATCCTAAGGTGAATCCTCTATCAATGGTTGTTTCAACGTTTTCCACTACAACTTACAGAGGTACGCCGACTAAGGTGATGAGGTTCCAACCCAGAACCACTCAGCTCTCCTTCACTGCAACACATTGATTATACTCCCCGCTTGAAAAACGGGAGGGTATATAGTAATCGTTAATTCCGTCCGTCCTTCCGTCCGTCTGTTACGCTTTGGGGTACCCATCTCTTATCCGCAACTGAAATTTGATGAAACTTTCACAGAATCCTTATTACATATTGCCAATGTGCGCCTCCTTTTTAACTTTTTGATCCGACACATATTTTGGGTTTCCCGGTCACAGCAAAACATGGACTTTGCAATTATAACTATATGGAGGCGGGGGTATCATTTAGTGAGCTCATCGCTCACAGTACCTCTAGTTTCACTTACATAGAGAGTCTTAGTGTTGCAATTTTCATCCACATGTATGCCATTTCTGGCTCTCTGAGCAGGCGTCCTATGGATTGCATTATTTCAGTGCCTGTCACACGGACAATACACATGCCCTCCACATAGATTGCACTACAAATCATGGCATCCAACTTCCACTGGGAGACACCACACTCTCCAGCCCGGTTGTTTACATTCTGCCACCAGATCCTGGTACTTATTCATTTTTCTATTCATGGACTTCTTCAATTCTGTCCTCCCACGCCACTGTATGATCATGATCCAGTAAAATAACAAGCTGGGCTGTAGGAGACCAAATAACAACATCAGGTCTCTGATAGGTAGATGATAATTCCTGTGGAAATTCCATACGGCCATTCAGATCTGCCAAGTGACTGGCGGTCCCCAATAGTCCACCTCCTTCCACTCCTCGGAACGACTCTGTTCACCAGCCTTAACAAAGTTTACAAAATTTAAGCTATCCTTATCTTTCGAGGTTTCATTCTTGATTTTTCCAGCACGTCTGCAATAACAGATTGAACTTTGTTGGGTTTTCATGTATATCTCCCATCTGGTAAAGCTACTGAACATGAAGACAAAATATGTTCCAGGTTGGCTGATCTACAACAAAGATTGCAGTTTTTGTCGTCCTTCTTGCCCCGTGTTGTCTTATTGGTTGGCAATGGCAACATGAGATAAACCGACTTAAGCTGGAACTGCAGTCTATAGGGCCCCGTTATCCAAATTTCATTCTTTTGTCGGGGTCATTCCCACTTTAGCAAGCTCCCCTGCTTCTTCATACCACATGCCTTCACCATTTTTGTGTGCTCTTTCATTTTGCGCATTTTCCCCCGCACAATTTGCATCTTCTACATTTACCGTTCACGGTAGCTCAGTCGGTAGAGCGCTCGCTCCGTGATCGGGAGGTCGTGAGTTCGTATCTCGGCCGAGACTGTCCTAGTCGATAAAATGGGTAGCAACTGTTCCTTCGCCATGCGCTCGGCACTTTGAACTGAAAGTTGCGGGTTCTTCGGATGAGACCTTAAAAACCGAGGCCCCGTGTCAGCGACAGGCGATAGCACGATAAAGATCCCTCACTGCTCAATGGCCCTAAGTGCCGAGTAATTGTCAAAAATTTGAAGCCCTTCACCGGCAATACGGTGACGTCTCCATATGAATGAAAAATTCTCGAGAGAGACGTTAAACAATATACAATCAATCAATTGATATTCTACATTTCTGGCGACGTACCACATCATCTTATCGATGGTATTATTCCTATTTCTTGCCTGCCTAGTGCACACTTCCAACACCCTCGGCTTGCTTAAAGTTTGACTCTGCCTCTTGTACTGTTTTCTTTGCTTACCACATTTTGCCTGTCTCGATCTTCACTCTTGCCTCCCGTACCTTGAAATCATTACTGTGAAACAACATAAGAAACTGTCTGACCTTGGTGACCTCGAATTCCTCGAAAATTGATGTCAGTGGTAATTGCAGCTGTGGTGGTCCTTGAGGTACTGTGCACGGATTGCCCTGCTACCTCCGATCACATGGTATACGTCACAGCAACTGTTGTGACGTGTATATATCCTCGCTCTCTTTTTCTATTACATGCTGCAGAACACAGACGTTTCTCTGTCAGCTCCGTCATTCTTGTATCTTGCATGTTATAACTGCGGGCACTAATAAACAGCGGATCATTTTATCATAGTGTTTTCTCTATTCCGTCATCACCGCACTTGGACATAAATAGTAGATAATATATAGAGAAACGCTATATTGGCGCGGCGTTCCAGGGTATTTTACTTTAACCGCGGGGTAAAACCTAACCTGCACGTGTTAGTGCCCGTCGCCATTTTGGATATTTTTCCGAGATGTAAGGTAGCAGTATTTATTTTATTTTGTATATACGTTTATACTTGCGTTTCTTGTTTAGCGGATTAACCGCTTCGTGTAAGTTTGTATTTTTGCCGTTTTGAGGATACCGGACGATATGGAACATGTGTTCAGTTCCTTTGGTAGGGGGAAGGGGACTTTAAGGCCTAGTGGGGACTGGGACGTTTGTGTTGGGGGAAATAACCAAGTGGGTCTGGGGAATACCCCGGGAGAACGCAGTCCGCGGAAAGTTCCGCCTCCCGTAAGCGTGAGATTTGCTCCAGGTGTAGCACACCGATGCCCCAGGGGGAGGGTGCCCCGGATAATGTCACCCAGTATGAGGGAGGAGATATGTCGCTTAAACAGGGAGGTGATGGGTCTTTGGAAACATTTCCAGCACTTTTATTCCTTGCTCCAGCAACGACAGACTATCCAGGAGGGGGTCGTTGACCGAAATCAAGGGGAAATGGGTCAATTCCGAGGGGATATTGGTCAGATTTAGGGAATATTTCCCAAGTTCAGGGTTAAACT